CTCTCTGATCTTGACACAGTTTCTGTTTGATTTATTGACTTTATTTTGTTAACCTCAAAGTCACTTACACCCACAACTTGTGGGGTTGTGTGGCGTAGCAGTAGCATCTTCAGCTTGGAACTATGAGGTCCCAGGTTCGAATCCTACCTTGTAACGATCTTGTGCCCTTCAGGGAAATGCACTTTAGATGACTTTCCTCACTTCACTCAGGTGTTAATGAGTATGCCAGAATGATCATTATCATGATCGTGGGCATTAAAAAGAAAACCGAATCAAAACTTATGAAGAAAATCACTAAACATGGTTGCACCAAAACCACAAAGATAATCCCCCAACCTCATTTATTGCAAAGTTTATGAAAGGTGACTGAGTCTTTCCCCAATCGATACTTAAATGTTTGAAGATTTACTGTCTGATTACCTGTCCTCTAGACACAGCATCTCATCTGCCTCTTGTTGTCTGTTCTTCTGATTTCCCTCGACAGTTTGGTCTCTTCTCAATTAGTTTGTAGACATAAAGTCATCCACTGGAGGTGTGTGATGTGGGTCATCAAACTTTCTTACGCCAACAACAGGTGGTTAACCCACAATACAGAGTCCAGGAAAATTTTTCCAAAAATAGTTTCATCATGTTGGTAACGTATAGGATACAGGAGTTTTTTTTTTTACAAAACCAAGATAGTTTACTTTGCTGCATGATGTTTCAGTGTCTATCAGACCCCAGTGATAACCGGGACTTGGGGGGTACAAACTCAGCCACATTTGGGATTGTGTTCTCGCCACAAAAGTGCCACCTAATACGGCTACAGATAGCGGCTAGAAGCACAACTCCAGTCAGAAGCTCTGAGGAAGGTGTCTGATAGACACCAAAACATCAGGAAGGTAAACAATCTTGGTTGTGTAAAAGAAAACTCCTGTATTCTAGAGTCTCTAGGACAGTATAATTGAAACTGTGCACAGTCTGCTTTGGAACAAAGTAATACCTGATTCATGAACTAGTGTAGGTTAGGTGCAGGATAGTGTCAGGAATACCTGGTGGACAACAACTCCAATTTTACCTGCAATATTGCGCAGGTGATAGTTTGAGCCCAGGGCTACAATATATGTGTTCTAAATCTAGCTGCTTATAGTACATTTAACATTTTCCTTCTCACTTGTTTTGTTTAATT